CTACGTTGTTTTACAGGGAGAACTACTACCATTGTAGACAGATAAGCATCTTGGCTGTCTTTGCTTGAGTATGCGTTGAAGCCCTCAATAAGTGATTGTCTTGCAGCTTCACTTATCTGTTCAAAACATGTTAGACTGCTGCATTTGCAATCCTCACCTGTTGTGTGATTTTTTATGCGTTTAATCTTTGCCGCATCTTTTTTCCTTCCATTAACTTTTCACTTTCGAGGCGTTACAGTCACAACTGGTCTGTCAAAGCAATGTGCCATTTTGCACGCACTTTGTTGTTATACCAAAGCTAAACGCTGATTGGCTGACCTAGTAATGTGAATCGAGACCACATGACTCAGCGGGGACATGTCTACTTCTTCCCCTGTACAATTTGGACATGTCTGGTTTTTCCCCAGATGGCTATAATTTTAAATGCTAAATGCTCGAGACTTTGCTGGTTTTTCGGTTGGACAACATAATAGGATGTAACTTTGTGTCGGGCTCTATGTAGCAAGGGAAAAAACTTAATATATGAAATTTTTGACATGTCTGCTTTTTCCCCTGTGCCCTTCATATGTATATATATATATATATATATATATATATATATATATATATATATATATATATATATATATATATATATATATATATATATATATATATATATATATATATATATATATATATATTACTGTTTACATCTATGTTTGTTCATAGTGCCTGTAAGCCTTGCATCTACATTAGCTTTTTTGCAACAAGAAACATTAATACATGCCAGCCAGAAACATGAGTATGACTTCCATTTGTAGATGGAAATAAATTTTGATTTTCGGGAGCTATTCCAGAATCTTTTCTTGCTACTTTTTAGCTTACAAATTCAATTACAAATATTATATCTGAAGGAATAAACACGGACACTAGCGTTTTTCCTTTCTTTGTGTGAAAAGTTATTTATTCCCAGTTGATATTTCATCAATTTATGATCTTCTAGCTCCTGCAACCATGTTCTAGCAATAGCCTCCTTCAATTGGTAAATAAAAAGTCAAGCTGGTTCAACACCACCACCACAAACATTAAAAATTGTTAGCCTCATAAATGATGAAACCAGTGAGATTTAAAAATTACTATATAGTCGAGCAAGCTGCCACATTACTTTTCTCATATAATTTTGTACTTCAAACTTTTTCTCTTTTTTATACTTGTTAGCTTTGTATATACGTGCACCTATTATAATGATATGATCACTTTAATTGTTATACCATTCTTGGATCATTTTGTTTGTAACTGCCTTGAAGTAGTTATTTATCCGTCCTACCCTGATCATTGTTTCAATTGGCATAAGAGAATCATAATTTGGCTATTATCTCGACCACAATAATTTGATGTCTAACCGTATATGGTTTTGCCTAAAAACTCTTACACACAACACAAATCACAAGATTTTAGCCATCAGCATGATATCCCTTTGCTTTTCTTTCTCTAATTTTGGAAGTTTGGAACCGCTTTGTTTATTTCTATTAAACTATGGATATAAATTCCTTTTTTTTTTTTTTAAAGTTTAGCAAAAGCTTCTACTTGCTCTATTTAGGAAGAGATTAAGCTTTTATCACAGGAGGCTCGTCTTTGTGGCACAATTTCTAATGCCGTGTAAGAGCTGTTTAAAATTTACCATTTTCACAAAATCGATATGACTTATGAATTTTCTTTTAAAGTTGTATATTCTTTTTAATAAGTTTTTCACAAGTTTTTAATAATTTTTAATAAGATTTTAAAAATGCTACAACTGGTTTTATTATTAGAGTTAATTGACTTACACTGTAAAAAAACTAACGCCAAAATAACAATAAAAATATAACGCCAGAGTTGAGCAAATATAACGGTTGTTATCCGTTATTTTGGCGTTATGGCATTATATTGCTGTTATATTGGCGTTATTTTGGCGTTAGTTTTATCCGTAATATTTGCTCAACTCTGGCGTTATATTGGCGTTATATTAAAGAGAAGATGAACTAACGGCAAATGCGTTATATTTAGCGTTATATTTATTATACAGATCCTATTTTTAGGAGCACAACATTAAAAAACAAAAATAAAAACGTGTTAGGATAATAATCAAGATTATTATCTTAACATTTTATTTTTTTATTGTTTAAAATTTAAAAATATTTATATATTTGGTTGATTAACGTTGTATAAATAAACTTTAGACATTGTTGTAATTATTTTTTAGTTTATTATAATAGGTTGAGGACATATATGTCCTCAACCTATAAATAATTTAACTAAACATATTCAGTTAAAATATTTATAAAGTGCTTACTTATTATGCAGTTATGCACTTTTTAAATATTTAACTGAATATGTTTAGTTAAATTATGTATAGTTTAAGGACATATTATTTGAAATAAAATTATTATAATAAACTTAAAAATAATTACAACAATGTCTTAAAGTTTATTTATACAACGTTAATCAACAAAGTTGCACAAAATATAATCACTTTTAAGAGATATAATATAAAACCTTACAATTGGGTACAATATGTTGACACCACTAAAGATTACAAAACAAAACAAGATAACTAAATTAAATCATGAGTGGTTTATAATATGTAATCATTTAATTAAGCAGTTATAAGTATTTTAAAAATTATAAAAAGTAACCTATCCATTTATACCTGATTATGATGCCACTAAAGAATACAAAAGTAAAGATATATAATAAATAAACTTAAAAATATATCTTCTTATACATAAATGTATGTCATTTATAATAATTTTAAAAAGATCAGTGATCAGTGAACCAGTGAGATTATCATTGGAAAAAAAGTTGTCATCACCTAAGAACACGTCTTAAAAAAGGGCATAATATAAAATCATTTAATTGGTTTTTAAAAACTCTTTTGAAAAGATATAACTTTATAACCATTGCTACTTAATGTTGATGCCACTAATAAATACAAAAAAGAAACAAACAAACAACCCCTTCAAAATTTATGGAATATATACTTGTAGTGAAAAGATACATGTAACTTTACCATTGGTACCAGATGTTGATGATACCAAAGTCTGCATAATAAAAAATGCCATTAAAAAGAATATAAAATAAAAAGTTTAATAAGCAAAGGACACCTTAATAATTTATGGAATATAAACTCGTATTAAAACATACATGTAGATTTACCACTAGTACTAAATGCTGTTGGCACTAAAGACTACAAAATAAAATAAGTAATGACTAAGAAAGACATCTTCTCATACTAAGTCATTTGTATTATTGTATTTATAATTTTCGTATATCATTTATAAGTCATATCAGTCATTTTGAAAAGATTTAACCTTACCATTGCTTCCAGATGTTATTAAAGACTAAAAAATAGAAAAGATAACAAACACAAAAATATCTTTAAAATGTATCTCATTTATAATGATTTAAAAAAGATATAATCAGTGAGATTATTATTAGAAAAAAAGTTGTCATTACCTAAGAACACGTCTTAAAAAAGGGCATAATATAAAATCATTTAATTGGTTTTTAAAAACTATTTTGAAAAGATATAACTTTACCATTGCTACTTGATGTTGATACCACTAATAAATACAAAAATCAAACAAGCAAACAACGCCTTTAAAATTTATGGAATATATACTTGTAGTGAAAAGATACATGTAAATTTACCACTGGTACCAGATGATGATGATACAAAAGTCTGTATAATAAAAAGGTTGATAAGCAAATGACACCTTTAAAATTTATGAAATATTTACTTGTACTAAAAAGATAGGTGTAACTTTACCACAGATACAAAATGTTGTTGCCAATTGAAGATTATTTAAAAAGTTTAAATTAAAAAGTCATTAAAACTAATTTTGAAAAGACAGGTCTTGTTTTAAGTGTTATACGTAGAGCTATTTACTTATGTATTAATTGTTTTTAAGCAGTAAATGATTTTGGTTAAGCAATTTCAGTTAAGCATATTTTTTTTAAACATTTTAAAAATAATATTAATAAAAAAATTGCTTTACCAAAACGTGAATAGCTCTACGTTTAAAACAAGGCCTGAAAGATGTAACATACAACATTATTATTGTTACAAGACGTTATTGATACTAAAAATTTTTTAAAATTAAAATGTATTATTACCTAAACCAGTAACATCTGCAGACACGGGTACTATTTTTGTTATAAACTTTTTATAATCATTTACTAATGGTGTTTATTAAAACCAAATCATAAATATCACCAACACAGGCACAAACACACAGATATAGTTTCGAGTCAATAAAAAATCATTTCTTCAAAGTTATATTTATTGTTTTAAGGTCATACAGGTTGTGGTTTAATAAAATTTTTAAGTTATTACACTGTAATTTTAATGAAATTTAATCAGCTGAAAATAATGTTAAGTTTATTTTTTTTAGATATTATCAGTTTTACAAAAACTTAACAACCAAAACTAATAGCATAATAATATTATAAATCATATATAATTTAATTAAAAGATATTAATAAAATCCTTCATTATAAGCTATTAACTTGTAGCACATATCTTGATGCAGCCTTTGATTTGTTTGGATATTTAACTTTTAAGATGGTTTCTTGGAAAATCCCGAGTAATTGGGCAAAGCAAGATGGATAGCATAAATCATTAAGTTAATAAACTGCTACTATTGCAGCTAATACCTCTTCCATACATGTTAATGGAGAACTACATAATTCTTCTCCAGTTCGTGAACGGATACCATAAAATAAATCATTTATCACTACCTGTGTTCCATACAATAAGGGCATAGCAAGTTGCGCATCAATGCTATCAAACTAAAGGACATAAATAGAAATGTTTATGTATTTTATATAAAATAAACATTTAATAATTTTGGTAATCTTATGTGAGACATAAACTTTATTTTGTTAGAAAGCCAGGTAATACCAAAAATAAAACACATTAATAAGATAACAAAGAAACTTACATGTGATAGCAAAAAAAAAAAACATCTTTGCTTTTTTTAGAAATAAACATTTTTTGCAGTTCTATTATGCTTGAAACAACATTCACATTATCACTAAACGCAGCCTTAAGAAACCATCTAGCATTAGTAATAATATTTTCATTTTCGGGAAAAAACCTTTTAAATTCATCAATTAGAAGAGATGGAGCTATTCAAAGTCTATGCGGAATTTGATCAAATATTTGGTGTTGAAATAGGCTTCTGTTGAGGATGCTCAATACAGCAACAGATGGAACAGCTTTTTCAAGTTCGTTCTGTAATAAAGTTAACATAACTATATAGTAGTTCACTAAAATTTTACTAAAAATAAAAAAATATAGTAAAAAATACTAGAATAAAAAAAGTACTTTGGCTATCAATAAGATCTTTCGTATTAATACAGAAAATAAATCTATTGTAAACTAACTGTTAATACCTTGAGCTCTGCCTCAGCTTCAACGATTGATAAAACTGGTTCAGCAAGTGGCAAAATTTCTTTGATGGCTAAGCTATTATGCCCTCTAGCTAGTTGCAAAAGTTTTGGGGAACTTTCATTTATCTTTGACCATCTTTGTTGACGGAGGTTATTGCTTATCTGCAGAAATAATGGTTCCTAAATACAGAAATAATGGTTCCTAAAATATAGACTTAAACCAAATACAATTATTAAAACAATTATCCTTTTTAGGTTGTAATTTGTAAAGTTCACAATATTCACAAAGCTAACCTAAACCGATTCTTGAATGGTGATAAAAATATAATAGAATCAGTAATTTCATAATATCATTAAATCTAATCTAATTCCATAATCAATTGTTTTGTTCAAAAAAATATAAACAAAAAAAAACCAACTCAGTGAAAACCTCACAAATTAAGCAATCAACATCAATGAAAAATTCCTAAACAATTTAAAGAGACTACATAATGTTGTAACATAATGGATGTGTAATTTTATTTGAAACAAGTCAGGCAAAAGTTGGTTAACAAACACTAGTTAAGTGGGTGAATGAACTAGTTAATGTGAATGATAAATGAAAATAAGTTTTTTGATATATTTTTTATATAAAAAGAAATAGAATAGTATTGAAAATTACTTATAAAAAACATACCCATTCATGCTTAAACTCAGGATATAGGTTTCTTAAAGTAGTCTTGAGCCGCGAGAAGAACTCCCTGTTACCAAATGGGTAATTACCAGTCACCTTTAATGCTGAAAATTGAGTATGAGCGTTCTTCAGTTCTTTCATAACATAAACATTATTAGCTCCGTTCAGAACTTCAAAAATTTGCTTAGAAAAATAAGTCATCAGAAGATTCACATCCGCTTGAAGAAGTTTGACTTTAGACATCTAAAAATTTACTAATTTCAACACCTTTGAACATGAACCTTTCAATCTCTAAACAACATTAAAAAGTAAAATAAAAAGATTAGAAAATAGTAAATGAGTTTTTTGCTTCTTACTATACAAGTTCTACTAGTGACAAAAAAAATATTTATAACATTTAAAAATACAACTTTTTAATTTTAAAACTTTAAGATTAATATATTAAAAAGTTGAAAGACAAGAGTTACTAGTTGTAAAATGTTTTCTAATTCTAGATTATTACTAGTACCTTTTTCAAAAGGTTAGTAGACTTAGGACAATAAATTTCAGTTGGATCATTTTTATATATAAAGAATACCTACCTTTTCATCATAATAAAGTCATCTGATCTATTACACTCCAAATATAAAATTTTATTCAACTATTTAAACTTTTATAGGTGGTTAAAAAAATCTAAATCTATCTAAAGACTTTATATTTCTTTATAGCCATTACAATCTAATAATAACAAAATAAAAAAAACAGATTTTGAGTATATATATATATATATCATATATTATTATATTTCATAATATTAATTATTCTTTTAACATGTATATATAAATTCTTCTTAAAACTTAATGAAGATTGGTTTAAAATTTTATTGTATTTGCTGATTTGAAACACTGGTAAAAGATAAATTAGGAATAGCAAGTGGAAATGCAAGGATAACATCACCAATTGATAGTGCAATCGTGCACCATGGAAACTGTAAACTCTCAGGAACTACAATATTCCTTCAAAAAAATACAGGCAATCTGCAGGTGGAATAAACGTTAAAATGGAAAGTGTCTAACTTGATTGTTTCAAAGTATCTCTTTCCAGATTTTGATAATATTTTAGTAATTTGATGGAAAATAAGCTGGTCATTCTCAAAAACAGTAATAACAGCTCCAATTTTATATAAAATGCCATCAATTTTTGCACTTTGTATTGCTCCTGACATATATTTTAGCTCATCCTCCTCACAATAGGTATCAGTTTTAATCGCATCTATTGAATTAAAAAATTTTGCAGTGATGTTTGCTATCATTGCCTTACATGCTGTATATGGAAAGTTCTTGAAGTTAAAATGCCTATAATTTTTCACTACTTGATGTTTGCGTTCAAAAGCCATGCACACGTGCTCTCTTAAAGGTCCTGATGTAGATGCCTGAACTGGATAGTGTTTTAAGAAATGAAGCTTTGGAATAAATCTAAGAGGATATAAAACCAAATATAGTTCATGATGCTCAGCAATGATTTCTTTCAAATCAGTAAGGTATTTTTCTGATATCATTGGAGACATACATAGCTGAACTATTTGTATCAACTTTAGCAAGCATTTAAGATGTTCATTTTGAGGTAAAATATTTTCCAATAAATAAAAGGGTAAAACTCTTGTGAGAGTGAGTATTTGACCACTTCCAAAACTTCCTTTAATTTTACATGTATTTAAAATTAGACCAGGTTTTTCAATGCCAACTGGGTAAATAAACGGTTGTAGCCATGTATTTAATGCTAATACTGTTATAAAATTAGGGTAAGGTGGGGCAAGAAGCCCACCATAAGCAATTTCGTCTTTTTTTTACTGATCCAATAAACGTATCTAGAAATTTATGTTACCATTATTTCAGATACATAATAAACTTAAGTTTCTAAAGTTATTTTCTTAATGGCTACTCAAGTTTTAATGGAAATATGCTTTTTATAAACTGCTATAGAGTGGGCCTTTTGCCCCATTGCTGGGGCAAAACGCTTTTAACCTGGTCCTTTTACCCGAAACGTTAATAGCTTGAAATATTCCTTTTTGACAATAAAAATTTATTGCAACAATACACATTTTACTAGTCACAATATATTTGTGTGTAAAAATGTCCAACAAAAGTTTTAGTAGAACACTTAGCACCATAATATTAGCAAGTAGCACCATATATGCTATCATACGACAATGGCAAACAGCACCATAAAATTAATAGAGCTAAAAAGAGCTAAAAATTTATAGACTAAAAAGATAGCTATAAAAACTAATTTATTGAGCTGAAAAACACAGCTAAAAGCTAATTTATAGAGCTTAAAAGTTGCTAAAAAAAACTAATTCATAGAGCTAAAAAGATATCTAAAAAAATAATTCATAACCCAAAAAGACAGCTAAAAAACTAATTCATACAGCTAAAAAGACAGCTAAAAAACTACAGTAAGACTAGTTGAATTGATTATGCCTATTGGCAGTGAAAGCAGGCAGCAGTGTCATCAGGACCACAGCCGTCGTGGTACCAATTCAGACATTCTGGGCATTGCTGCCAGTCATCAATGGGTGGTTCGTTAAATCTTTTACCACACATGCAACATGGCGTATCATCACTGTTAGTAACAGAACCTACACATCTTCGTTCTTTCGACCCTTTTCTTATCACGTTAGCATTCGATACGTTACTTTTGATTGTCCTTTTTGATTTTGTTCTCGCATATTGCTTCCTTTTCCCGGTTTCTTTGTCATCTCCACTTTTCGTTCTCTTGGATTTGTCTGCGATTACATCGATTTCGTCTTCATCATTTTCCTCATTATTATTTCAACTACTACTTGCTTGTTCTGTTTTGTCTTCTTTGCATTTGCTTCAATTAACATTGCTTTATAAGGACTAGAAGTTATTACAGTTGCTGCTTCGGTTTTTCGTTTGCGACTGCTAACATTCTTTATCCTTGAAAAAGGGCTTAGTTCTGATATAATCTGCAATGCTTCGGATAAACCAGGATGATCAGCTGTTTTATCTAGTTGATTTTCATCGGACTCATTGCTATCTCCTGTTGCAATCCTATCAGTCTCCATCACATTAACCGATGCTTCATCATCCACCGCATTGCCGGCTTCTTCATTTGTATTCGTAGGTTCACTTGTTTCGTTTCTAGCTAATAATGCTCTTTCCATCATTTGGATGTGTTTAACAAGATCTTGTTCAATTTCAATAGAAAAAGTATTCACATGATTTCCTAATTTATTGCTCCCAACTTGTCTTACTTTGCCGTGCAAATGCCTTCTCAATGTCTTCCTTGAAACTCCAAAACTGTTTTCAGCTTTACGCAAAGACATACCATTTTTTACTTAATCTAAAGCCCGTTGTAAACCTTCTGCTCCATAACTTCCTCTTTTTGTCTTCCTTTTGTAATTTCTAACCATATCTATAAATAAAATAAAGTTAAAATTTGAACATTCTACTTAAATAATGCAAGGGGTAAAAAGCTCAGGATGGGCCTTTTGCCCCATTAACAAACTGGGCTTTTTGCCCCAAAATGGTCGGTGCAAAAATTGATAAAAACATATTATTCTATGGTACAATGAACGTTATGTAAATAATCAATACAGTTGTACGCTTACAAATACATAAACTCATTTAAATAATCAACTAAGTTTAACAATAATCTACAAAAAATTTTTAAAATTACGCAAAAAATCAAAATGTCCTATTCTTATTACCTGTCAAGTCTTCAATATTCTGTTAAAAATTATATTTCTACTAAAAGTTCACCAAAATTCGCTCGCAACACTGTTACACATTTATCATTCATACTACAAAACAATAATTATAATATTTTACCTAGGTTCTTTATAACTACAGGATGGGCCTTTTACCCCACCTGGGCCTCTTGCCCCACCCTACCCTACTTTCAACAGCATATGCAAGAAACAGTTCTAACTAAAGAGGAACAACACCTTCGAAAAGATCGTGCGTAGGGTCAAATAAAATTTGTTTGGTTACATCAATGGAATTGATAAAAGCACACTTGAAGAGGATATCCCATAATATTTTGACCACTTAATTCTATCTTTAGGTCTTAGACCGGAATCTAATTCTTTTAATCTAATTAAATGTTCTTTTAAATCTCGTATAGAACATTGCTCGTGTCAAGTATTTGCATACATCTCCCCTCTAGTTGAATTACACACTCTGCAGCACCTAACAGTCTTTCTGCTAAAGCCTTCTTTGAATCCACCAATGGCATTTGCAGCTAATGAATCGGCAAAAAAATAAAACAGTATTAGGAGTTCCTAAAGTAATAACAACTCACCTGTTATTACTTTAGGAACTCCTAATACTGTTAACTCTATCCCTGTCATAAGTTTTGACATTGCATCAAAAAAATCCTTTTATTGTTCACGAAAGAAAAAATTGTCTTTCACCATCTTGCTACCTGTAAATGCTAAAGGAAATATAGTTGATGTTCTGCCACGATATTTTGCTGGAATATTAAGAATTTGAAAATACATGCCTCAAAGTTTGTGTTTAGACCGTGCTTTACCAAAAGGATTTGTTATACCGAGATCATCACAGTAAATAGCTATATTAATTTTATGATCAATAAATTTAGCAATCTCAGGGGATTGAAGTAAGAAAGACAACGTGTCTAAAAATGGTACAATATAACCTTGTTTCTTAAGTCCAACAGATTTAACTAAAGGCATTTTGAATACTCTCATAAAATATTTCTCACGGCAATTTTGAGATGATAAAATTTTACAGCAAGATTTTAGTTTAGAAACATTAATATCCGGCACTGACAGTATTTCCTTTAGATGCAGAAAAATTGAATCTAAAATGTTTTGAGCACACCGGTGCTCAAAACATTTTAGATTTCAGTTTTCTACTTCTTCAATTATCTCAACATCATGACTATTTTCTACAAGTTCTGAACATTGCTTTATATGCTTTTGAAATCCTTAGAGAGTTTTAAACTTTGAATAACATATATCACAAATTACAGAAGTTTTATTTCCATGAATTCGTAAGTGATTCTTCATTAAACGATACCTAAAAGTTGTAAAAGTACAGCAATTACATTTGTATGAAAATACCTTTCGTTTTGAGTTTAAATTGTCTGTTGACTGATTGGTATATGAAGATAAATTTGCTGTTGCACATGGTTGAGTTTGAGTATTGGTAACATCAATTGGGGTTACTGGTTTGAACTGATTGAGTTGATGGAAAGGGAACAGGAAATGAATCATTGAGGCGTCTTTGTTTG